ATTTTCTCAATATTTAGATTTTTTTGCACCCTCAGATTCCAGATTTTCAAATATTGTCCTATCCTAACAAACCATACATCAATGGAAAGCTGATTTATTCAGCTTTCAGATGATCTGTAAATCTCAATTTCAAAAAATTGACCCTTATGACTGGTTTTGTGGTCCAGGGACACAGATGAGAAGCCGACTGATGGATGTGTTTTGTGTGTGTGTTTGTGTCAGTGTTCTGTACGAGGGCAAGGATCCGGTCCGGTCGGGATGGCAGGTGATCGAGACGACTCCGTACAGTCGTTCTGCGAGCCTGAGCTCCGGCGGTCCTGCGACGCACCGCACTTTCCTGATGTTCCGCCGAGCGCCGGACTCACAGGCGCTGAACACGCTGGGCATCACTGAGATCTCGCTGCTGATGCCTAGCAAGGGCGAGACGGCGCCGCACACCTACTGCAGAGTGGACAAGAACCTCAACACCGGCATGGTGATGATTCACTGATCACAGAGTCACTGATTCACTGAGTCACTGATACACTCTGTCTCTGATTCACTGATACACTGAGTCACTGATTCACTGAGTCACTGATTAAGTTTTTTTTAGAAAAAGTTGTGTCTGCACAATTGCGCTCCTTCCTGCAAAAAAATGAATATAAATAAAGGTGACTTGACTTGACTTGACTTAAGTTTGTGGTCAGTTAGATTTTTTTAAAGAAAAAATTATTTAATGCTTTTATTCATCAAGGTTGCATTAAATTGATCAAAAGTGACAGTAAATACATTTATAATGTTATAAATTATATCATTATAATATTACACATTTTTACTGTATATTTGATAACATGAAATAGAATAACACAATAAAATAAAAATTAAATTAAATAAAACTGCAAAAATGCTTACAAAATTAGAATACATGAATACAAAAAAAAGAATGTATGATGTTGAAAATTCAGCTTTGATCACAGAAATAAATGACATTTTACAGTGTATTCACATAGAAAACATTTATTCTAAATAGTTTTTACTGTATTTTTAATCAAATAAAGGCAGCCTTGGTGAACAGAAGAGACTTGCTTTAACTGACCCCAAACTTGTGAGCACTACTGTATGTTAGTATGCAGTGGGTTTAAATGTGTCTCAGTGTGTTAAACAAGCGCTGAGCTTGTAATTATGTTCACATCTGCTTCTCCTTCCTCTTGACACGCTTCAGAAAACACCATCAGTTGTGAACTTCCTCTTCTGCTTTATTTGTCTGTTTCTCTAACTCTCGGTTTCTTTTCTGTTGGTTTTGATTGCTTGTGTGTGTGTGTGTGTGTGTGTGTTCAGTGGGGTCCGGCGCTGTATCTCTGCTACAAGCGTTCAGTGGCTAAAGCAAACGCTCTGGTGTATGAGGCAGGTGAGTGTCACAAACAAACACACACAGAGACACTCTCACACACACACACACACACACACACACACACACACATGAATTAACGTTTCTGCATTTGACATTGAGAGCATAGGTTGCAATTTAGATATATTATTGAGATGGAAAAATGCAGTTTTACAAATGCTAGAAACGTGGCTTTCTAAGGAAAGATTGCTATCATATAGCACACCTAGGTTCCTAACTGATGACGAAGAATTAACAGAGCAGCCATCGAGTCTTAGACAGTGTTCTAGGTTATTACGTGCGGAGGTTTTAGATCCGATAACTAACACCTCTGTTTTTTCAGAATTTAGCAGTGAGAAATTACTCGTCATCCAGTTTTTATATCGACTATGCATTCCGCTGGTTTTTCAAATTGGTATGTTTCGCCGGGCTGCGAAGAAATATAGAGCTGAGTATCATCA